TCTGTCACCCAGGCTGGAGTGGAGTGGCGCAATCTCGGCTCACTGCAACCTCCACCTCCTGGGTTCAAGCGATTCTCCTGCGTCAGCATCCTGAGTAGCTGGGATTACAGGCACATGCCACAATGCCCAGCTAATATTTTTTTCTTTTTTGTATTTTTAGTAGAGACAGTGTTTTGCCATGTTTGTCAGGCTGGTCTCAAACTTCTGATCCCAGGTGATCCACCTGCCTCGGCCTCCCAAAGTATTGGGATTACAAGCGTGAGCCATCACACCTGGCCTGAAGTGACATTTTTAACCATTGTTTAAAGCACGAATTCTATGAGAAAGTATAGCACAAGTGTGGTTACAAGTTACAATCTAAAAGGTTAATAAATGAACTCAGGAATACTGCTTCTCTTATAAAGTTTCTTATGACTCTCATCTTATAAGGAGACTCTGCAAAAGGTGTATATCCAGCCACCTGGTCCCCTGTGTGCATACAAGCATAGCACAGATCCTGCTGTATCAGAAGCAGCATTCTATCATCCACCTCCCTCACCAGGAAGGAGCTTCCTAATGTCGTCTACCCCATCTGTGCTCTGTTCTATTCCTATAGTCTGGTGTCTGGCTAGGAGTCAATTAAATTTCTGTTGAACAAGGGGCTCCCAACTGTAGCAATAGTGCTGACCATAATTCTGCAAAGGAACTCCGGAGTTTTGAAATGATATGAAAGCAGAGAACTCTGTTATTTACCTCAGATTGCCTGAAAGTGCTGAGATGTGTTTGGTTAGGCTACTGCCGTATTTAATTATTATTGTTTGAAATCGTAGAGTCTTTATGCAGGTGAGCAGTCTCCGGGCTGCCAGAGTCTCCATCACTCTGCACTGTGTGACTCCCGGCTGCTTTATATTCTTAAGTGACTGACCTGGCTCCAAAGGCCATTTGCTTTTGCTTCTCTTGACCTGAATATTCTCCATCAGAATCCACCCAGAAGCTCTATTTATCAACCCAAGTTAAAGCTACTTTTTCTCAAGGGACAGCATAGTTTTCTTATTTATATTTCTATGTTAAATTTCTAGTGAAACAACAATATTGTTAACTTTTGTTTCTGATTAATGGTACCCCATACAAGGTAAGTTAAAAAGGCTTTGTGGATTAGCCTGGCACTTTAACCCTTGTTTAAAGCATGAATTCTATGAGAATGTATAGCACAACCATTTAAAAGTTTTATAAATTACTGGGCATATACCCAAAAGATTGTAAATCATACTATGATAAAGACACATGCACACGTATATTTATTGTAGCACTGTTTACAATAGCAAAGACTTGGAACCAACCCAAATGCCCATCAATGATAGACTGGATAAAGAAAAAGTGACATACATACACCATGGAATACTATGCAGCCATAAAAAAGAATGAGTTCATGCCCTTTGCAGGGACATGGATGAAGCTGGAAACCATCATTCTCAGCAAAGTAACACAGGAACAGAAAACCAAACACCACATGTTCTCACTCGTAAGTAGGAGTTGAACAATGAGAACCCATAGACACAGGGAGGGGAAGATCACACATTGGGGCCTGTTGGGGGGTGGGGGGCAAGGGGAAGGAGAGCATTAGGACAAATAGCTAATGCGTGTGGGGCTTAAAACCTAGATGATGGGTTGATAGGTGCAGCAAGCTACAGTGGCACATGTATTGCTATGTAATAAACCTGCACATTCTGCTCATGTGTCCCATAACTTAAAGTTTAAAAAAAATTTTTAATAAATGAATTTAGGAATACTGCTTCTTTTATAAATTAAGGCATGCCTAGATAGATTTTATGAAAGTACTAAGTTATAAAGTCTGAGTATTAAGGAGATTCATACATTTTGTAATTATATGTAAAATATATTTTGTAGATATGATTCACCCATTATACATAACAGAAATCATATATGTAGAAACACAGTCTTCCATTGGGTTCCGGGATTTATTTTCCCACTTTGGGACTTGAAATTTGTATTCTGACCCTGAATTCTAAACGTCCCTGGAAAGAAACCTTGTTTTTTTTTTTGTTTGTTTGTTTGTTTTGGGTTTTTTTTGGGAGTGGGTAAGTTGGGATGGAGAGGAGTTAGCATTATTCAGCACACATTGATGCTAGCGACATTTCATATTTGAGTTTATTATTAATGTATTATGATTTGTGGGAGTTATTGTGAGAAAGTTACAGTTCTTTTTCATAGACCTTTTATACAGATGAGCAAATTGAGGCTCTGAGGGATGATATAACTTGCCAGTGGTCACCAAGCTAGGAGCTGGCAGAGCCAAGAATTGACCTCAGGACTGTCTGACCATTGCCAAATGCTTGTTTCTCTGGGGAGAATGGAGTCAGACCCCATCCTGGAAACTCTCTCCTCAACCACTCCCCAAGCTTCTCTCCCTAATGGCCAGCTTGGACCTCCTCCCCTCCACTTGCTCCTCTTGTGTACACCTTGGAATTCAGAGACTCAGTCACCCAGAGCCTACCGTCCTCCATCAGAAACCTCAGAAGAGGCACTTTCCACATCCCCCTGCCACTTGTGGATATCAGGACAATTGTTTATGCTCTTAACTTATTAAATGTAAAGTGAGGAGGCATTTATGTGCTAGAAACACCTTGTTCTTCTTGGACTGGTACATTAAGAAAATTACGGCATGGCAGGGGCCAAATATGAATGCTTGAGTCGTCACCACTACGCCTCCCCCACTCTCCAGAGACAGAGCTCCTGCCAAGTCCAGGCAGCACAGGCCTGGGATTCGTTTGTATTCACTGGCTGCAGAACCAAACAGGGCCAGGAAGGCTGGGGATTTATTAGGAAAAGAGCCAAGCGTTTCTCACAGGAGATGAGGAGAGATATGGAAAGAAGAAAAGGAAAGAGGGAGAAAAACAGAGGGAGGGACCTTACTGAGTGGGCTGGGAAAGATGGATTAGTAAGCCAAAGTCTCGCATACTTTTGCCATTCAGAGCTTCTCCCTTTCATGTTTTATTTGTTAGATCTGTAGTAAAGACTCAGATGTACTTTTTTTCTTTCTACAGAGAAGTTTCTTCTGAATGTGCTGAGATGAGTCAGGAAGTGGTCCCTTTTTACGTGGGTCACAACTGGCATTGTTTCCCCAAAACTGGGAAACAACATTCGCTCCAGTGTCTTCCCTGATCCCAAGGGATGCTCTGCAAAGTAAGGCTTCTTGGTGAAAAAACATAGCATTTTTAAAAGTTCTGAGAAATTCTCAACAAAGAATAAGATGAACTTTTAAAATTAGCATTTGTAAATATCTGGCCACAGTACCCTTTTGTCATAGGTGTTAACAATCCAAAGAACGTGGATCCCATGGAACACATTTGGGTCGTGCCATTCCAGAACACTGTGTTTCAGAGATTCCTTCCTGTCCAAAATGGGACCCCACCCAGCACACGATTGGAGAAACTGAAACCTTTTCCTCACCTTAAGTGAGCAATGGAGTGAGATAATTTTCACAGCATAGAAAACAATTCTTTCTTCTAGTCTTAGCAGAAAAGCAGTGGATATTTTTCAAAGAGCTATGTGTATGTCGTCACTATCATTTCTCCCACTGTGTGATCCTTGGTAAGTTTTGTAACCTCTCCGTGTCCCAGTTTCCTCATTAGCAAAATGGGGATGATAATGTCTACAGCATAGAGTAATGCATGTAAAGCACTTAACAAGACAAGTTAACAGATGGTGGCTACTGCTGTTATTAAAGAATATTCTGCACTTTACAGGAGGGAACAATACATTTGAGAAGATTAACTTTCTATAAGTAGAAACCATTATAATGGCTCTTCCATTATACAACGATCACATTGTATTAGATTTATATGACTTCATTGGATCAAGAGCTCCTTGAAAGCAGGCTCTATTCTTGAATTCCCTATGCCATGTTTTCAGCAGGAACACAGTAAATGTTTGTTGAATGAAGTAATGAGGTGTGTAAGAAAGCCAAACAAGTTGACCAGTCAGTAAGTTTTACCCAGTCTCAAAGGAGGATGAGCCAGAGTAGGTTTCACGGGGACAGGAAGAGTGAGGGCTGAGATAATAAGGGAGGGCCTTGGGGAACTAGGGTAGGCAGGATCAATCTTGGGAGGGATCAGCAAGGAAGAGACCAGATGTCTGGGCTCAAAAGTCTCTACAGATGAGACAAAGTTAAGACCCAAGGGACAGCTTGGAGCCAGACTTTTCAGGGAATGACTCATTATAAGCTGATCCCACAGGAAATTAAGAGGATGTGCTGTATATGTGAGCACCCCTCCAGTGGAGATCAGGTTGTAGCAGGTGTTCCCAACCTTCCCCACTGCCATGTGCATGATAGATGACACCAAGTGCATGACATGTTCCCTGATGCGCTGTCTGCAAAGTCATCCTTTCCTTGCCCCGCCCCTGAAAGCATATCAAAATGCAGTTAAAGGAGAATGATGTTGTTAAGGCAGTAACCTTGAAATCACTCTAGTTTTAAAGAATCACTTATGAATTTCAGCCCTTTACCATCATTCATAACAAGAGCTTGTTAATACATCTCATAGTGTTCCTCATGTGTGCTACAACATGGCATTGAAAAACCATAGGTCCAACATGTCATTGAAAAACCTCGGACCCCTTTCTATCTGAGGCCATAAGATGAGATGTCTTTAGTGAGTGGCTCAGAGAAAGGCCATGGATGTTAACCAGGTAGACAGAGGAGGAAGTAACCATTTATAGAGCACTTATGTCCCAGGAACTGAGCTACACATTAGATTTGTTTTCTCAATTCAATCTCTTGACACACCTGGAAGGGAAGAATTATTATGCATTTTGTTCAAGTGAGAGAGGTCATTGGTACCAGGAATGTATATTTCACAAGGGATTTCTGAAGAATTGGAAGTGTTAAATATGGGTTTCCCGTTCTCTTTAAAGAGGAAGACACTCCTTTTCCGGTTGTAGGGCAGAGTTTCTGGCTGCCACACTTCCATTAATTATCACATGGTCTCTTTGTGTTCTAGCCTGCCCTGCAGGGACATTCAAGGCCAGCCAGGAAGCTGAGGGCTGCTCCCACTGCCCCTCCAACAGCCGCTCCCCTGCAGAGGCGTCTCCCATCTGCACCTGTCGGACTGGTTATTACCGAGCGGACTTTGACCCTCCAGAAGTGGCATGCACTAGTAAGTGTCTAGTAACGGCTTTGGGCTGGAGAGTTTGGTTCCCTGATGGTGCAAGTGGTGGGTCTGGGGCAGGGAAGAGAAGACATCATCCTTTGATCCCAGAGCAAAGCAGAATTGCTGGCCGTGGTGCTGAAACATACATCTGTGCTCGGAGTTCAGGGGCCTTGTCCCTACGTATCACTGGGTGAAGATTACGGTTTTTTCCTTCCCCCTTCCTCCCATATAACAGGGCCTTCCTCCCACCCCAGAAAGATAATTTCTGTTCATCAGATGCCAGACTGGAGAGTTCTTTGGATGCAAAATCATAATCTATTATCACCTCCTCCAAGAAGTCCCTCCTGGTGCCTGTAGCTGAGAATCTCCTACCTCTTTGCTGGGTTTCCTGTATATTTGTAACCAGACTCCCCTCAGAGTGCTCATCATTTTATTAATTGTCCAGTTATTCTGTACTTATCTCAGTTATCAAATGAAGACTATTGTGTGTCAGGACCATATATTCATCTTGTGTGCCTTCCAATGCCCAGCCTGATGTAGCACTTGTGCTCCTGTCAAATGACAAGACCAGTGGCCTGACCACAGAGTGCATCTCCAAGGCAGAAATTCTATGGACTGGAGCTAATGCATTGGCTACATCACTGTCCCATTATATAATACAGAGGGAAGAGCAGTCTCCCTGCCAAAAATGGAGAAAGGCAGCTACACTCTCTGGATAGGGATGTGAGAAGGGGTGCATTTCTCCCAATATTCTCCCCCATAATTGTGGGAGGAGACAATCACTACTGTCCCTGCACAGTACTTTGGATAATTTGCTCCCACTCCTCTGAGCATTTTAGCCCTGAAATGGGGATGACCTCTCTTTTCAGTATTCCCATTGTATTTGGGAGTCAGTGCTCCAGGTTAGCCTCTAATATGTTAGAATTTTCTTCTCATTGGATAATGTTGCCTGCCTCCCTGTGAGCAGGGACCTTTCCTTACACCTCCCTGGACCAAATCCCTTCCATCCATCCCCAGCACAGAAGAATGTTTCATATATACTTTCTGTTTGATGAACAGAAAAAGTGACTGGACTCCGAGTGGAAGAACTTCTTAATTCTAGCCTTGTAGTGTATGTAACCTTTACTGAGTAAAGAGGGCGAATAAAAGTATCTTCTAGATCAAGTTCCTGAGTTCAATCAATGTGTATAGATTTGAACTGATTTTCTACAGACCTCTCTCTCTGGTGAGTTAATATTAACAAAAATTATTGTATCTGCTGACCAGAGGTCTTGTTTTTCTGTCGTGCTGTCTCCTACACTGACTTCTGAGGTTGCCCTGGGGGTCTTCCATGAGCCCAAAAAGCATTGTTTAATGTACTTCTTTAGAAACCACTTAAGGATGCTGAATCACTGCTCCCTGGATGTTCAGACCAAAGACTAGTCTCCATGATTGCCAAAGTATATGCCCAGGGTCTCACACTATTCCTCCTGAAAACACTCCTTTCCATTCTTTCTCATTAACCCCTCTCACTAGCCGGCCTCCTTCTACAGATCAACCATGCAAATAGAAGGCTCGGCGTCCAAGCTTCCCACTTCAGCAGACACACCCTGTAAATTCATCCAGTCCCTGGGTACGGTCACCTAGAGGAAAGGTAGACCAATGACTAAATGCTCAGAATGTTGATGTGCTGCTGCCCTCCTTGCTATAGCATCTCTCTCTTCTCTCTCTCAAGGCCTATTTTCCAGCCATCTGATCTGATGTACTTGAACCAGGAGGACTAATGCCTGGTTAATACCTGGGCTGGGACTGGGGGGTGGGAAGCAGGAATTGCCCAAAGCCTCCAGTATGTACTTTCTAGATCCTCACTCCACTGGACCTACTCATATCCTGAGTCTACCCTCCTTAAAATCAGACCTGAACCAGGCATGGTGGCATGCACCAGTAGTCCCTGCTACTTGGGAGGCTGAAGAAGGGTGATCACTTTAGCTTAGGAGTTCAATTCCAGTGTGGGTGACATAACAAGACTCCCATCTCTAAACTAATGATAATAATTTAATAATAATAATTATTAATAAATCATACCGTATAGGCATCTTCCTCCTGTCTCTGGTCCAGTTAGCTCTGGGGTTACATATACCCCCTATAGTCCCACCACAGTGTCCCCATCTTACCCAGAATGGAGGTGATTATTAGACATGCCTATATGTGTGACTACAGCCACCACACCCTTTGCATGCCTCTACTCTCCAGATATAGCAGGCTTTAGCATGCTTGGGTCAGACCAGAAATCGCTGAATCAAAGCCACATGTGGCTGTGGTGGCCAGGCCTGAGAGAAGCTCATAGATGCACTGTCCAGCTCTCTGCCTTGGTATGCAGGGACAAGCACTCATTGAAGGGACCCATAGGGCAGGGCTGAGGTGCAACGCCATGCTAGGCAAAACACGTATAAATAAATCTATTATTTTATTGAAACTCATTAGATATTTGATTTATTGTGTGCCAGGAAAGTATTGTATGAAAAAGTCAATTTGTTGGCTTTTATAATCTCATTAGGGTTTCCTTTTAAGGCATTCTAATTGGAGGTGCCATCTGTTCTTTTATAAAGGCATTGTACATCACCACAGTAAATAATTTTTCAGATACAAGGAACATATCTGGAGTTGTTGAGGCAAGGCACAGCCCTGTACTGTGGCCTTGGGGCTCCTGCTGGTTCAGCGGGTTGAGCAGGGCAGGAGTGCAAGGGCCCAGCCCAGCCTGAGATACACTGGTTGGGGTGAAGAAGGCACGGGTGCTGGTTCACTTTGCACATTCACTCTTCCATCCATTCCATCGAGAGACAAACACAACCTGACTGGGCACTATGGGTACCCAGGTAAAGAAGGAGAGCTTTGTCTGTCTGAAATGTACAGGGCAGTGGACATCTATAGTGTTCAGGTCCTGTGGACATGAGGGAGGGAGGAAGTGTCAGGAGAGATCAAGAGCCCAGGTCTGGAAGTCTGGAGGGGCCTCAGGTTTAGTGTGCAGCTGTTGACTTTCAATGGATTATATCAGCAGTCACACGCATTCACTGGCAGTATTGGAAAGTTTATAAAGAGTTTTAGAACTTTAAAATGTGTCATTTGACAAGGCCATAAAACCTATAGTGCACTAAGAATTAATATTTTTAAAGAATCCTGTTGATCCCTTCGGGCTGGCACACATATAGTCATTGTATTTTTGTAGTGCTACAAGTGTTAAATTTATTTCATGTAACCATTTGGAATGCATGGTACCTTTGGAGCCCTGTTTAGGCATTTGTTTGTTTTCTTTTTAATCTACTGGGAGACCCAGGGACACCCCGCCCCTTGACCTCTGAGATGCCTGTGTGTCCAGCCTTGTCCTTGAATTTTGTCAGTGGACTGCGCAGAGATGCAGGTGCACCGCAAGACAGTGTCAAAGGGGCTGGTGTGGGCTCCAGATGACGTCAGAGAAGGGTGGCTTAGAGAGCTCTGTGTTTTGAGTCTGCAGTCACATCACTGCTGCTGGTCTCTGGATGACTAGCTCCCTTCTTCCTTCTTCTCTCTCCTCCCTTCACCTCTACCCAGGCCTGCAGCTCTGGATCTTCCCAGTACTTGCTCATATCCAAGAGGATGCCTCTTCGCTCAAACCTAGGTCATGTATGGAATGAGGTGGGAGCTTGGGGGATAGCTAGAGGCAGGTGACAAGTGACTCCACCACTCCCTGCTCATGAAACTCCCTGAATAAAGCCAGACTACCTGAACAGTGGGGCTCACCTTCAGTGAGAAGTTACTGAAGGGCTACTGATAGTAAGGGGAGGGGTCATATGAAAAGACAATGGGAGGGGACAAGGGGATGGTGCAGCCCCACCAGCAGGGAGGGGTTGCTAAGGTTATGGACTGAGGAACCAGCTGTGAGCTTTGGGCTTGCTGTGCTTCCGCTGAAAAAACTGCTGCCTTCCTCCCTGTACTGCTTACTGAGGCACTGCCCAGAGGCCCTCAGTTTCCCTGTTGAGTTCTGGCATCCCCAAACTGCCTCAGTCTTGAGTGGGTTCTGGGACAGCTCATAGAATCTTTGATTTCATGTAGTGGGTAGAAGATGGGCTTTGGCACTTCAGAGACAAAAGTTTGAAGCTTGATTCTGTCTCTTGCCTTCTCTGTGACTTTGGTCTAAATTCTTAGCTTTCTTACATTCTGTCATTTTATTCTCACAACTTCATAATAATGCATGCTTTTCTGAGTTATTATGAGGATTCAGCCAAATAGTATTGTAGAGTCCTTGGCACAGTGCCTGGTTCATAGTAAACTCTCAATTGATGTTAGAACTTGCTTTGGTTACATCCTTGGAAAGTGTGAAGATTGCAGCAGATATTGAAGCTTCCAGCATGAGAGGATGTTGGATATCTGAAAATAAAAGTGATGTTGTAGGGGGAGCCCAGGCTTGACGCCATCACTGAGCATCACAGCAGAATCCATGGTATGGTCCCAAACCACACAGTCATCTTGGCCTAAAGATCCTGCTGAAAACAAACGAGAAGGTGACTGCCCTACCCTGCGACCTGGTGTGCGGTGGGAGAAGGAAGGAGGCACAGGAAGAGCTTTTGAGAAGCTGGCGAGCTCGCTCCTCCTGGATGAGAGGTGCCAAGAAGCTGGGCAAGAGCAATGGCTCACAATACTGGCTTTCCATTCCCAGGCAGCAGAGGCCTAGCAGCTCCTCACACTGAGACACACGTCCTTCCACAGGAGGACCAGATGGCAAGGGAGACATGGTGGGGTCAGCTGGGCATGGGGGCAGCCAGGAACGCACTCAGAGGTGCACAGCAATGTGAAACCCAGCACCACGATGCAGGGCTTGGCTTCTGTTTTAAATAATTTCTAGTTTACTGGGGGACGAAATGGAAAGGAGGAATTTATGAAGCAGGTGAAAATAGATAATTATGCCTTATAAAATTGCTGTCTGTGAAAAACTATACAGAAGGATTGGTGTGAAAATAATTACCTTTTTACATTGCTGACCACAAAAACCC